CACTTTACCTGTTTTAAGGTACCTGGATTCGCTGTTGCTTCTTGCCAAGTTGGGCAGGAACTGCACCCCAGGTCTTCTTCTGATAAGGTATGCCCATACCTGTTTCAGGAGAAACTGACAAATTTTGTCCCACATGCTCCAGGCCTGAAGCCCATATTTCCCATAGTACTCACATTTTTATGACCAAAGGCCCACCTTCATGAATAAAGAATGTTCATACAGGATGCTTTTTCAACATTACTGAACAGCGACATAGAAGTCAAGAACTTGGCACAATAGCTTCTCAACATCACCTCTTCCCATTACACAATGCAGAACATATCAGTGCCACCAACTCAAACTCTTAAAGTCCATCCATCTTCCCATATACTCCTCCAGCAGTGGGTTCTCACATGCTTAGGCCCCAAAGACCTACTGCTCTCCAGGCTACAAATCTATGTTGTTAGTCAAGGTTTAGTCAGCTCCCATTCGTCTTCTGCCCAGGGCACCACCTACACCAAATTATAAAGGGCACAGTAGTCCAACCACCAGCATCACCCAGAGGAGGAGCCACAGTAAAAGGGGTACCAACGACTGCCTACACTGACACAGGTGCTCATCAAAAATGTACATTTTCTGCTCCCCAGCTCCATTCATAGAAGCTGTACTATGAAAAGGAGGTGGACCTTCCAGTCACCTGTCTGTCCTCTATTTACTCTATATTTGTGTGGGAACTGATATCGCTTCTATGAATGGATTAGGGTCCGGAAACATTGGACATAACTGGCACTTTTGATGAATGCTCATGACAGATGCAGCCTCTTGTATTAAACCCAGTAGTCAAAAAAGAAGTTGAGGGTTTTTTTTAAGAAATCATACTTATCTAGGTGGATTCACCATTGGTTTGAAGCTGCATCTGTACCCTGCCAGCTCTAAGACAAAGAAGCTCACTTCTCAGTTTTCAGAAGAGCAAAGCCATCATCATCAGTCATCGCTCTCCAATCTGACCCCCCCCCCCCCCGTCACTGACTGTGTTGGGCTGTGGAGGGGGCGGGAGTGGTTGGCTCATGTTCAGCAGATCACTGAAAGGCTGGTGCCGGTTCAGGGATCTGGGTGGATCTCAACTTTAAAGTTGGAATTTTTCCCCAGCCTGGACTGGGGACGTCAGCCAACAGCAGAATTTAGCCTGCTGTCTGCTGAAAACAGGTCACTGAAGTGCACACTCCTGTGATCCACAGGATAAGTATAGCCAAACGAACTTTGGCTGTACTTTTCTTTTAATACAAGCGGCTGCACCTGGTATCTGGGGAGGAAGGGGGGCAGAAGAAAGAGGATTTCAAGCAAAACAGCACCCACCAGCACATGGGACACTTGTCATTCATTGTGACTACCATCTCTGGTGCCGATTTTTAAAATATCCTTTAACTTAAAAATCTAGTGTACAGAATACCCTCCAAAATGTAATTTCCTGCTTGTGTGATTGGCTCGTTGATTTCCCAGAAGTCTGCACTAAGATACAAGACACATTTTATGCACCCCCTGCAACAAGAATTTCAGTTTTGGTAATAGAGGATTAAATACTTTTAAGGGGGATGCAGACATTGCAGCTTTTCTTATCAAAACACTGCGCATGCACCATTGCCTCCTTGGATGTGTGTGTCACACATCCTAGGGGGCAGTATTTCAGTGGAAGTATTGCACAATTTCAATTCCACACATTTGCAGATAGCCACATGTATAGCACTTTTTGTAGTTAAATAATGTGTTTTATAGCGTTTTATACACCAAACCAAAAAGAGGAACAACTGTGAAAAGACTCCTAGAGTGCCCTCAGCTGGCTGTAAATTAAAAGTGTTTCAGACTCTCTCTGATTAAAGCATTGTACATACCTATAGGTTTCTGAAAAGGCTGGCATGGACTTATTCAGCTGTGTGTGTTTTTTTGGCCTTGAATAGTACAGACAAATATGTAGAAAAATACCATGCATTTCCTTCAAAATAACTGCTTGGACTGGAATCGACCTTTAAAAGAGAGAAAAGTCATCAATATCTTCATGTATTGTCTTGATAAGTGCACTTGACGATGTTGATAAAATAGTTGAGTTACAGACACACCTGTGGTCATGAAAGTTGTTTATCCTTCCCTACAGCTAAGTAGGTATCCAATTTAGCAATGGCTTTATGGGGACAGGGACCACTGTTAGAAGATGCTGCTTTGTGTGTCAATCGGTTCTCCGTAATGGAATGTTGTTAGTGGTAGGTTTTATATATTTATTATTTGCTATGGGGGCAGGTTTGGCTTTCCAAGAATAAATCCAACAATACAACACAAACACAAATAAACAACTACATACTTTGCAAACTTTCCACTTTGTAAAGACAGATCCCTTTGTGAAGTATAGAGAAGAAGTGTATCTAAACCCAAAACCAAAAATGTAATATATTGCAGCTGTGATAGTAGGCAGGTGAAATCACCAGGTTGCATCCTGGATGGACGATACTTTTGTCCAAGGTTCAGACTCTATGGGGATTTGTTCCACTAGAGCAGTGGTACTCAACCTTCCTAATGCCACGACCCTTTAATACAGTTCCTCATGTTGTGGTGACCCCCAACCATAAAATTATTTACCCAGTAATTATAATTCATGAAGTGTCGTTTTACCTCCAATACTGCTGCTTTCAACACAGTAGCTGCTTTTAACACAGCAGCTGCTTTCTACACAGTAGCTGCTCTTTACACATCGGAAATATGTGTTTTCCGATGGTCATAGGCGACCCCTGTGAAAGGGTTGTTCAACCCCCAAAGGGGTCGTGACCCACAGGTTGAGAACCACTGCACTAGAGGGAAGTGCTGAGTCCTTCAGCACTGAGGTAATGAGCCCAGCTGAAGGTAGTGGGCTCATTAAGGCCATTATAAAACTTCCCAGCTTGCTTAGGGAGTTGCTCCAACCTGGAACTAGATCTATGCCTGAACTGACTGGGGAGCAAACAGCTTATCTGTGTGCAGGGAGACAAAAGCCTGTGTGGCTAGCCTCCAACTACTAGCAACTAGGTATAGCATCAGGCTGTACCTAGTGGGTAGCTAGGGAAAGCTGTTGGTACAGTAAGTAGCCAAGTTGGCCAGGATTTAATTTGATGTTTCTTTTTGGTTTGACATTTTTGTACATATTGTAAAATAACTGCACCTTTTTGTTTTTTCACCTCCACTGTTGTTGTGCTGTGCCTGTCTTTTTGTGTTGTGCACCCATCCAGGGGGTCACACACACCCACTGCCGCGCTAACCCCGTTACACAGCCTATTAGTCCTTTGTGTGATGGCTGCATTTGTTTTTGTTTTTTTTTAACTTTATAACCATCTGGTAATTCTACAAATAACACACTTTCTGTCCTTGGGTGGCTATGTCATTTCTCTCACTGTATCGATGGAGGGAATCATAATGGTCACCCTAGGCTGCTCTCCTAAAATGGACTACAAACTAGGGTTGTGACCTTATCCTTTCAAAACTGAACACATATTAATTACACAGCTCTGAGGCTAATTGAATGCAGATAAACACTAAGTGAGTTTAATTACCACTTTAATCAGCCAAAGAACCTGTGTAATTAATATGTGTGTTCGGTTTTGAAGGGATGAGGTGGCAACCCTACTAGAAATATATCTCTTCATCTTCATTACTTAAGGGTTAGAGCAATTGGAGGTTTACAGAAGATAGCTAGGAAGAAATATATTCTTTGTTGCAGCTCACATAAAGTGACAAGGTCCCTGCATTTCTGGCAAAATCAACAAGTATTTTCTGGGGCTCAGGGCTTAATCCCTATTTATTTTCTCCGCTGTCCAGCAGTTACGGTAAATCCACCCTGCTATGGCTTTGAACAGCTGAGGTGCTTGTTATTCTAGTGCTTTCATATATTTACATCCTGTATATTCTCAGAAATAATGAAATCACACAATAAATAAGCAAAGCCTGGTCAAGACTGCAACTGTTGAAAGCAACTTTGGTGTTAAAAATACATTTCCATGTAAACTGGCCCCGTAGAGAAGGCCGAACCTTTCCTTTGGCCATTACTGCTAACACCGCAGTGACGATAAATCCACATGGGACGCTGTGATTAATCCTCTTCACAGCCTTGACTTTAAACCTAGACTGGAAAAAGCAGCTGGGGTATAAATATTTAATCATGGGTAAGTAAAAGTGTCAAAAGAAGCATTGATTAAAGGGGATTATATTTCAGGTGTTCTCAGCTAGCAGCAGAAGATGCTGGGCAGCATGAATCTTACTGGGTGCATAACAAAACACAGCGTAAGTTATAGCGCATAGACATTTACATGATGTAAAGTTATTTCCACCGGCTTCATCAACATATGGATAAAACCCTCGTGTTCTACACTGTAATACTTTGTTTTTGTAGAAGGATTTCTTGAACTTTTCTCTTATCCACTTCCCCAAATTTCTTCCTGTCTTCAATCCCATGCTGTGAAGGAAAATTAAAGTGTAATCTACTCTGAATTTAGAATTCACAATGTTCAGCAAGAACCTGCAAAGCAAAGAACCAGAATTTTTGCAGCAGGCTCACAAAACAGAGTGGGATCTATGGGCTTTAATAACCTTTACATTTGGTTGATTGGAATTGCAATATTTATAATTAACTCCAGTCAAACAGCAAAATAAATGGTTGAGATATATATCCACATGAGGGCTGTATTGAAACTAATGCAAACGTGGGTATATCTTTTTTATTAACTTACCGTATTTTTCACTCCATAAGACGCACTTAGATTTTAGAGGAGGAAAACAAGAAAAAAAAATTCTGAACCAATGGACTACAGACATATTACAGGAGATGACCAGAGACTGCGGACTTAGTACAGGAGATGACCAGAGACTGCGAACACAGTACAGGAGATGACCAGAGACTGCGGACACAGTACAGGAGATGACCAGAGACTGCGGACACAGTACAGGAGATGACCAGAGACTGCGGACATAGTACAGGAGATGACCAGAGACTGCGGACACAGTAGAGGAGATGACCAGAGACTGCGGACACAGTAGAGGAGATGACCAGAGACTGCGGACACAGTAGAGGAGATGACCAGAGACTGCGGACACAGTAGAGGAGATGATGACCAGAGACTGCGGACACAGTACAGGAGATGATGACTAGAGACTGCGGACACAGTACAGGAGATGATGACCAGAGACTGCGGACACAGTACAGGAGATGATGACCAGAGACTGCGGACATAGTACAGGAGATGATGACCAGAGACTGCGGACATAGTACAGGAGATGACCAGAGACTGTGGACTTAGTACAGGAGATGACCAGAGACTGCGGGCACAGTACAGGGGATGACCAGGGACTGTGGACATAGTACAGGAGATATAAACCATATAAATGCTGCGCTACATTCAAACTTATTTAAGTGAATGTGGAATCCAATAACTCAAATCAAAAATAGTGACAATAATAATGAAAATAAATAATATGTGCTTAATGATAACAAAATTACCAAATAAACCACCCAAACTAATGAAAAAGCACAAACTTAAATCTATACGTATGTGCATGAGAAATACACATACATATATTACATCACACGTGCACAATGTGAAGTGAAATGATGACTAAATAATAAACGCAAACTCAAAGTCCAATAATGAAATGTTGAAGGTGAACAAAACTGTAAACGGTGTTTCCAATAATACTGTAAGGTGACCACAAGTGAAACAAATCTTGCAGATATCTGGGTGTAGATAGAGCTTATGAATCCAACCACCTTCTGGATTAGCCTCTCACCTCATCACTTCGACCCTTGCGGGTCAAAGAGCAGTAATGGATCCCTCTCACAGATCCTCCAGGCACCACAGCACTCCAAAACCACTTTTCAGGATTTAGTATTCCCACTCAGGCTCTTCTCCAAGTATAGTATGTTACCAGGACATAGAAGGTGAATCTCCCCAGGGAAACACAGATCGCAATAACAATTTCATAGGGAATCTAACCCATGCCTGGAGGATCTGTGAGAGGGATCCATTACTGCTCTTTGACCCGCAAGGGTCGAAGTGATGAGGTGAGAGGCTAATCCAGAAGGTGGTTGGATTCATAAGCTCTATCTACACACCCAGATATCTGCAAGATTTGTTTCACTTGTGGTCACCTTACAGTATTATTGGAAACACCGTTTACAGTTTTGTTCACCTTCAACATTTCATTATTGGACTTTGAGTTTGCGTTTATTATTTAGTCATCATTTCACTTCACATTGTGCACGTGTGATGTAATATATGTATGTGTATTTCTCATGCACATACGTATAGATTTAAGTTTGTGCTTTTTCATTAGTTTGGGTGGTTTATTTGGTAATTTTGTTATCATTAAGCACATGTTATTTATTTTCATTATTATTGTCACTATTTTTGATTTGAGTTATTGGATTCCACATTCACTTAAATAAGTTTGAATGTAGCGCAGCATTTATATGGTTTATATTTACTTGATCACTGGTATATGATTTAATGCTAGCAGCTGTTTGGGGTTCATATATTAATTTAGTTTGTTTTAAACACACATTTGGAGCGCAGGAGGGTCACACCACTATAGTACAGGAGATGACCAGAGACTGCGGACACAGTACAGGAGATGACCAGAGACTGCGGACACAGTACAGGAGGTGACCAGAGACTGCGGACACAGTACAGGAGATGACCAGAGACTGCGGACACAGTACAGGAGATGACCAGAGACTGCAGACCTTTGGGGAGGGGGGGCAGGTATCCAAATTTGACAGGTATCCGCTCCCACTTTCATGGAGTTGACAGGTCCCACAAGACTATGGGGCCATTCACAAAGCGCAGCGCTTCTCGCGCATGTGCAGTGGGCACCCTGCTTGAAGCCGCAAGCTGCCGGGTGATCACACTGAAGATGCCGGCGCCGGGGAGAGAAGATGGCCGATGGAAGCAGGACACTGCTGGACTGAGGAACAGGTAGGATGGAGGAGCGGGTTCTGCACAGTAGAGCTGAGCAGTCTGCCCGGAATTCTAACACGGCGGCGGGTATACCTGGCCAGCTGCTCCATATTCGCTCCATAAGACACACAGACATTTCCCCCCATTTTTTGAGGGAAAAAAAGTGTGTCTTATGGAGCGAAAAATACAGTATTTATTTATTTCAGGTACTTATATAGCGCCATCAATTTATGCAGCACTTTACATATATTTTGTACATTCACATCGGTCCCTAATCCTCAAGGGGTGTACAATCTAAAGTCCCTAACTCACATTCATACATACACATACTAGGGCCAATTTAGACAGGAGCCAATTAACCTACCAGCATGTCTTTGGACAGTGGGAGGAAACCAGAGTGCCCGGAGAAAACCCACACAGGGACAGGGAGAACATGCAAACTCCAGGCAGGTGGTGCCGTGGTTGGGATTTGAACCAACGACGCTAGTACTTCCAGGTGGGACTGCTAACCATTTAGCCACTGTGCTGCCCAACAGTACATAGGCTGTTCAAATTCACATGTTGGTAGAGTAACTCTTCCTCTATAATAACTCTTCTTCTTTTTAATTGCAGGTAAATAATGGATTCCAAGTAGGTTGGATTTCATTACAAATCGAAATTCGGACATTTTTGTTATTCTGGGATTTGGATGTACCCAAATCTCTGATTCACAATAATAACAAAAATCATCAAATCCAAAATTAATTATAATGAAAACATCTAATTCATTCGTATTCATTTGTTTCATTAATTTGTGACTTCAGAGGGTTTTGTAAGTTCAATTGTATGTGTCACACTCTGTATTGTTATGATTGGCCACAAGCCACAGTCACAAAACATCAAAGTCACAGGCAAGTTGCATTGAAGTTGCAAGACATCCAAGTCGCGTCAAAGTTGCATGCAAGTCACAATGCAAAGTCACACTAAAAACATAAACAATCAATTCAAATCTTCTGAAATAACTTCCAAAAATACAAATCAATTTGGAACAATGAAAATACGAAAAAAAAAATCCAAAAAACAAATTATTCTAACCAGGGGCGGACTGACCATTTGGAAACTCGGGCACTGCCTGAGGGCCCGGGGTCAGTAGGGGGCCCCATGAGATGCCCCTGGTACCTTTTTCATAGGCTTTTTTGAGTTTGGGCAAGGACACAGGGGCCCCATGATCCCCTATTGCCCGGGGGCCCCATGAGTTGTCAGTTTGTCCCTGATTCTAACATATGACAAAATTAAATAGTTGATTTAATGAGTGAATCTGAAACTAAACAAATATTTTCGTCATGCACATCTCTAATTCCAAGCAGATGCAAAGTGCCAACATTAAGTTCTTGACAAAGGATGGGTGCAGGCTGTCTGACTTCCACAGAAGGCTACAGAATCTTTACAGAGAAGACTCCACTGACAAAAGCAATGTGCAAAGATGGAAGAATGTGATTAAAGAATGGGAAACCAGCAATGATAACAAACCATGGACTGGGAGACCATCAATGTCAGACAACTTGCACCCCTTCTTCGTCAGGAACTCAATGACAGCTTGTTGCTTCTGCTTGGAATCCATTTTTGTAACTGCAATGATAAAGAAGAAGAGTTAATATAGAGGAAGAGTTACTCTACCAACATGTGAAATTTGATCTACACCAATAAAAGTCAATGTCCACTTTTACATTACTTTGGGTTCAATCTTGTGTATATACAATATACTGTTTATACAAAATATATAAAGGATTTGTTATTTTGTCCAGTCAGTACTCAATACAGCCGGGTTGATGACCTTAATCTTTGGTCCCACGCTGAACTGTCTTTGTCACTCTTCTGCAGTGCCATTATAGCACATGTGCAAATGTGCCAAAGAGCTCTGCCTATTCTTTGGGTTCTAGCAGAGTCCTTTGACACATCTGAGCAAGTGCAGGCGATCTTCAAACCATGTACAAAGACAGAGACGTTTTGGATCTTCGTTATTAGCTGTCTTTATAGCTGTCAAATACTGTGTGCAGATGGCTAGGGAAACACACGTGTGAGCAGATGTACTGCAGAGCTCATGTGGGACCCAACGCACATGCAGGGGGCCAGGGAGGAAAAACGCAAGATAGCCTAGACAAGAAATGAGGAAGTGCTACTTTGCAGAACAAATACATGCCACTACTTAATTAAAAAATGTACATCCAACTGTAAGAGAGGGAGGGTAGAGGAGGCAGAACAACTTAAATTTTAGGATAAAAGTCCGCTTTACAATGTATTCGAATCCGAAACCAAAAATGTTATATATTAAAGCTAACTAGTCCTTGGTGTGATAGCTGCATTTGTTTTCTTTTTTTCAATCTTCTGTTGCTTTATATTCACCTGGTAATCCTTCAACTAACACACTTCCTGTCCTTGAGTGACTATGTCATTCCTCCACTGTATTTGTGGTTGACACTCTAGACTCTCCTGAAATGGACTACAAACATGTCGGTATCTCTTCATCTCCATTACATGGGAGCAGGGTAATTGGCAGTTTACAGAAGATAGCTAGGAAGAAAGATGTTCTTCAGTTTAGCTCACATGAAGTGACAAGGACATTGCATTTCTGGCAAGATCAACAGGTAATTTCTGTATTTGCTGAACATGTTCTTAGCTTGAATTTGCTATTGCATTTTTGTTTCTTGAGTTTTATTATTTGTTAAGCAAGAAAGCTTGGTCACTTCCCAACCCAAACCTGTGGACATTGCAGGAGCAGTAGAATACTGAGGAGTAATAGCTTTACCCTTTCATTATGCCAAGTTCAATTTAGTTGTTTCCACTTGTTGCATTTAAAAATACATTTAGTAATGCATTAATCAATAAAACAGCAATGCAACAGGTTCATGTAACCGTTGTCAACCATATCAGCCTGGGTCTTGGTGGACAAATCTGTAGCTCGGTTACAACTTAGGACAAGCCTGTTGAAGGAATGTAGAAATAAAATTTTGGGGCTGTCACTAAGATTCTCTGAATGAGGGGGCACTGCTGTTTTGCAGTTGACAGATGTACTGTAGTTTCATCCAGCAGTAGCTGGTGCTCTATACACAACCCTGTAGCATCTGTAGCACAGATCCTCTGTTTTTTTCTACTGTTAACCCAGGTTGTGATCCCTTATTGGAGCAAGCAGCCAGGCATGAGGTATTTTCAGCCAGGTGCATTAAATCCCACTTAGTCATGAGACAGTATTCAGGAAGACAGAGTCTTTTGGTTGTTTTATTTGTTTTGAAGAACTGGGATAGGGATTGGAAAAAAACTTTGGGATGCCCAGAACTAAACTTGAGTGAGGACAATATCTTGAAATGGTTAAATGAATTAAAGCAACAATTTAAGCACAAAATGTAGCAAGAGTTCAGCATGTGGGGCTTCCTCTAACAGCACAGCCCTTGCACCAGGTCTGGAACAGTTCCTCTAACAAAAATGGGTGTACAGGCAACAGGTCTACTCACTGTGATCCAGACAATCATAAGGCCTTCTTCCATCTTCAGTTGACACTGGCACAAAAGGATCCCAGAAAGATCCTCTTTGGATGCCCTTGTGCTTCTGCGACGTTCGGGTGATCCTTCAGCTCCTTGTTGAGCTAGAATTATCCAGGACTTCCAAACACTTCTTCTAAGCCTTTGAAAGTTTAACAGCACTCTTAGGATGGGTCAATCTCCAGCAGGTGAAGGACCGTGTGGCTCTCTGCTCCAGTCCCTATATACCTCTCTCAGCTCCCTGCTGGTCAATTTCCTGACCAGGGATTGGCTGAGGTTCTACACCGGGCCAATGCAGGCTTGGAGCTACCATTCCCCCCACCCCACTATGTTACAGCGATTTCTGGAAAGACAGGGGAAGGCAGGCAAGCCTGCAGCTGCAGACCCCAGAGTAGACGAGAAGTATCCACAGCTTCATTAGCTACAGCAGAGCCCAAATGACTGAATGTACCTTTCTACTAGCACCTAACTAGGAGGGGGCTACACATCTATTGAAATAGATGGAGGTTTAAAGTCACTAGTCAAATCATCCATGAACTGGGGAACACCAGCATTGTTGTGCAGGATCTAGGTATAAGTAAATTCCTGGTTACCAGTTGAAGGTTCAAACTTGCTGTTGTCAGTAGCAGTTTGAGATGTTGTTTCACTGAAACTGCTGTAAGATAATTCTCTCCTGTAGACTTGATCACTTACTAGAGGTCTTTTTGTTGGAGTTGGTATCTCTTTTGAGTTCTCCATAGCATGCGTTTCAAGAGATGAAAGTATTGTCTTGGATTCTCCTAACAATAGTTTTACAAGTGCACACATTGTTTGAACTTTGCTTTTTACCGGAACAAGGAGCACCAATAATGAGACAACCAATTTCAGTCTTTTAAATGTAAGGATGTATGTCATGAAGATCACTTGTAAGCTGGTCTTGCACCTTATGGACTGTTGGAATGTCTATTCCCATTAGAAGTATAGCTTTGCAATATTGGGCAATGTTGGTAAGTAGACTTGTCTTGAAATATTAGACATGTGATGTACATCTTCCAATATAGGGATTACCTTTTCATCAATAAGTATTGATTACACTTAATAGACGCAGGAGGAGAAATCTCTTCTGTATCTTTGATGCCTGATACGATGAATTCTGTACTAGGAGGAATTCTTCCTCTGGTTTCTACTGTACTAGCACGTGTGCAGTCTGTAAGACAATACTTCTCCCTTTTCATTAAATGTGTCAAAGAACTTTGAAGTTGCAAATGAATGACTGCTTTGATCATCTAAAATAACGTACATTGATAGCCTTCTCTGGCTCTCCCTAAAGAAACACTTTCACCAGAAACCTTTTAGCACTGTTTTTCTCTAAAAGTCCTTCACAACATAGCTCACTGCATTCCAATATAATTGTTGAAGATGACTGTTCATGGCTCTCCCTGTCATGATCTGATGAGGATGTAAGTAGAGGAAGAGTCTCATTTGAAAGGGCCCCAGTGTTGAGGCTGACACATGCAAGTCGCTCTCACTTTCTGAGCCCTCAACTGTAGCCTCGCAGTCTCTTGCAAA